GGACTAAAAGTGCCCTTTTTTGTGATAAAAAGTGCCCTTTTTGTGTTGAAAAGTGCCCTTTTTTGTGAGGAAAAGTGCCCCTTTTGTAGAAGCTAATGTCGCTGTAAATACTAAATTAAAACAATAGGTGCCGTTTTTGTGTGGAAGATACTTATGCTTTAGATACTAATCTCGAATCTGTCAGCAAGTGTTTGGATGAATTTACAGACAGCGATCTGAATGAAAGTAGAGATAATGCTTCTAACATTTCATGGTAGAATAACAAGGGTTCTTGCAAACTCAAATACATATTTGCATTAACAATTAAAATACATGTTGGAAAACGTATCTGCACATGAAATTCAACCATTAAAAATATCAATTTAATTTTTTTATTCAATATATTTGGCAAGTACAAACCCTCAAGGTCAATTGTATGCTAATTAGAATTTTTTAAAATTTAAAACACTTAGCCAGGAACATGTTTTTTCTGGAAATACTGTAAACTGTTGAGCCCCCTCGGTAATGAGCCAACCCCCGTCCTCAAAAGGACATGAAAAGAATAACCCCCGTCAGGACATAATAGGGATCATACAGTAAAAATCAGTCTGATTTCACTGTAGCAGTAAGCCATATTTAAAATATAGCCAGAACTTTAGTGTATTGTATTGTAGTAATGCATTTGACACCACCATACATTTGACCCTTGTACCTATATTTGTTAATTTGGCAAATTGTGATTTCACTGTAGCAGTAAGCCATATTTAAAATATAGCCAGAACTTTAGTGTATTGTATTGTAATAATGCATTTGACACCACCATACATTTGACCCTTGTACCTATATTTGTTAATTTGGCAAATTGTGTTCAGCAGTTTCTCATATTTAGGCACATCTGAATTTATTCACAAAAAACCCACATTTGTTGAAAACCTGACTTCCCTGGAGGATATTACATGCAATAAGGAAACAGGTGGCTTGAAGGTTTTCCAGTCATGGTGTAGGGGCCTATTCTTTATTGTAAGTGCTGGTGGTCACATTGATTATTGGCAACCACTGTACAGGTTTGATACATGTTGAATTTTTGTTTCAATGCAGTTACGAAATCTGTTTTTACAGTAATTTACAGCTTACTGAATCCAAATATTCAATAAATTAGGTGTTTTTACGGTTTCCCCAGTGCTAGTTGTAATAGTACCTTTAGGAAAACAAACCTGGAGACCCAAGTAAGCATATTTTTAGTGTTTAAACTTTAATTTCATAATGAAACAAAGTGCACACAACAAAGTGAATAATGTATTAATATAACAATTGTATTCTTTCTAAAGTTTGCTACTAAATTTATACTAAGGAAATATAAGTGAAATTTTTGTTCAACAAACATAAGCAATTACAAAAATGGCGATGTTTTAAGTCAAGGTTTAGTTAAAAACCACACTTTCTCATGATTTTACTGCCATTTGGCGATTCACAAGTTTCTCTGCCCAACGTCACACATTAAGCTCAATACGTTCAGTCACTGTTGGATTCTGAAAGTGAAAATTCTTCATCTGAGAAAGATACATCGCTGGCAGTGTCACTATCATCATCAACAGCCAAAGGGTCAGCCATCTCTTGTGGTTTATCACCGGCAATTTCCTCGTCAAGTTTCTGTCTTAAAATTACGGGAATCACTGAGTATTTTGATAAAATACAAAACAATAGATGCTCCAAAAATTGAAAGCATTTTGAAAATTTATTTTGAGATTTTGACTAAACTATAGTCGTCATCAGGAAATGAATGATGATGATATTACATATGTACAAGTATATATAGTGAAGTAACAAGATACATTTAGTTAAATATTAATAGATCTTTAGAGGCGTTAGTTCCATGGTTTAGAGACAGTTTCATTTTATTAATAGCAATAGATGAAACGAAACGTCAAAATAAATAAATAAATAAATGCTTTCAATTTCTGGAGTATCTATTTTTTGTATTTTAAGTTTCTGTCTTTTCGCTGGTTGACCAACTTTCTTTTGTTATTGTTGGTTTTAAGATAGATCTGTTCTACACAGTCAATGATTTCTTCTTTTTCCTTGACACTCCACAAGCCGTCATTGCTGTAAACAATCAGAGAGTCGTGGAGTGTAGAATGGAGCATCGACAAATGCTTGTCCTACAGAATGTTCGTAAGAACGCTGAACATACGCTCAACTGTGAAGTTGGAACCAGAAATGCAAATTGCAAGGCCTGCGAGTTTGCAAAGATTAGGAAATTCTTCGCTATGAATGTAAAGCACTGACTTCCATAAACACTTTGGGTCAGGCAATTTAGGGTAGTGGCTCCTGACGTATATTTTGAAACTACGCCACTTTTTTAAAGCACATGTCAGGTTGAAAGATGTGAGCTCCAATGGTTTGGCAAAATGAGCTGCCATCATGGTGATGTCTTCGAATAGATTGCATTATCGTAGTTTATGAAACATGCGTTCAATGTTTGGACCAGGACGGGGATGACTTTTGACTTAATTTGGCAAACTTTCTGTACACATCGTTCTCTGTCAAAGTCATCCAGGTCAAATTCAACAGTGGTGTACTCTTGGTTATGCTGTTTCTTTCATTTATCCCCTGCCTTGGTAAATTCTCCTTTGGCACAACCATTCTCTTGAATTACAAACCGCACAACATAGCTATCTAAGAACTCGTCCTCTGACTTTCTAGCTCCACTCTACAACTTTTTTAAAGAGAAAAAGTCCTTACCTTTGAATATTGATTGTACAATGGATGTAGGCAAGTGTTTTTCCTTGTTAATGATTTATGCTCACCACAGCAATATGCTTTTGGTATTGCTTTATTGTCCAGCTTGCACAACACACATAAAAGAATAAGACTGGAATCCTAGGTATGACGTCAGCTGTGGCTGTTGCATGCATACAACATCAGTTATAATCAGTTCAATTACTAAGTTCAAAGTACAATTACTAATACAGTACCGATCACGGGAAAGTTAACAGTCCTGTGCGGGACGGGATTCCCATCCCGCAGGACGAAAAGTCCATCCCTCGGGAGGGAAAATTTTCCCCGCAGGATGGGTAATTTTGCGGGACGAGAATCTCGTAGTGTGGGAAGGGAAATGTGTCGCTTGGGAGATAATAATATATGTAGAAATTTATTTATATGTAAGTTAAACTTGAAGCTGTGTACGACAAAATGGGAAGGTTAAACCACCACAGCAAAGAGCGGATAATAAAATTGAAGGAAGGCTATAAACCATCGCAAATATTGCAAATTTTAGAAAGTGAAGGGGTAGAAATTTCAAGAGTTGGATTGTGGAAGTTTCTGCAGTGGTTCAAACAAAACCAGACGCTGTTGACGGCAGCAGCGAAAGGAAAGCGTTCCAATGGACGTTTTGAATTTTATTGATGCGCAAATGGAAAGCAACAACGAGTTAACATCCCCCAAACTTCAACAATTGATCGAGACGAACTTTGGCTGGAACTTTTCGTGCTCGAAAATTAAGAGATTACGAAGGAAGTTAGGCTGGTTGGCCACGGGGTCAAAATATTGCCAACTTGTGAAAGAAGTTCACCCAAGCGACTAGAATTCGCTCAGAGATGTTTGAGTAACAAAGATAATTTTGACAACGTCATTTTTACAGACGAAAGTTCAATCCAAATGGAGTGGCATGGTAAAATAACTTTTCATCGTTGGTGGGAACCACCGAGGCAAAAGGGGAGTACCAAAGCATCCATATAAAGTCCACGTTTGGGCTGGCATTTCGAAGCGTGGAGCAACCGGGATAACCATTTTCACTGGATGCATGAATGCAGTATTTTTTGTAGAAACGATTTTGAGAAAAACATTGCAGTAGTATAGGGAATGAGGGTTCTAGACCACTTTTTCGGCCCGCGATCTCACCCAACTTCCGGTCAGCGGTTTCCATATTTTCCCCCAGAAACGCGGGCTCATATTTTTCTAGACCATTTTTTCTGGTCTTTTTTACCTCATTTTTTTCTATTATTTTCAGTCGACTTCCATCCAATCTCCAATTCTCTATTTACTATCTGATTTTTCCTCAAGCATTTTTAGGTGACCGTAACTTTCAGAATTTGGTCTAAAGTCTAAGCCATCCTTTTTATTTTGTGTACTTACTCCAATGTTGATATTATTTGATACAGAGAAATTTATATCACCAGCCTTTCCATTCTTACTAGAACTCTTACGACAACCACAAATCTTACCCAAGCAGGAGAAGCATGACCTCCACCTTGACATCTTATCTTATGATAAACCACATGTTAACTACCTGACCCTGAATATCGGAGTGACCAACAAAAGGACATATCCATGCTAGACCCAGTGGGCATTGAGTGTTCAGGTTTAACTATAATACACCAAGCTAGCGTGTTATCTACCAACTCAGCTTGGCCCCCTAAATAGAACAGACTATTACCCTTGAAAACGTAGCAAGCTGTACTTCCACCATTAGTTGTGAAAGTTCCATTGAACCAGGTGTGTGACAGTTTTGTTAAGTCTATTGTTCTTAGAGCGATTTCCTTTTTTACCAGTGTAAATTTTCCATTAGATTGTTTTTCCCAAACAGTAGCCCATAGGATTAGAGCTAGTGGTATATTTTGAATAGTTGAAAAACGTGGGAAATCTGATTTGATAGTAATTGATTCAAGGTTCAGGTCTGCCATATTATTAATAGGATCTGTTCTCCATGAAGGTGGAATCTGCTCTTGACAGTAAGCGTAGTACCTTGTTGCTGCAACTGAAACTCCACGATAACCCCAAATCCATTCTGCATGTATATGTCGCCGTATTCTTACATATCTTATATCAGCAGCTGCCTGGGTAAGACTAGCTGAAGTCTTCAGGAAATTCTTTTCTACCCACTGTTTGTTAACAGCATCCTTATCATTTACAGGATCCTTTAGATCAAGAATTCCACTTGAGTCTCCCATATCCAAATCACCTTTCACCAGCCCACCTCTACTACTCATGAACTCATCTGTTGCCCACCTCTTATTAACAGCTGAACCGTCAGTCGTTGGACTTCCAACTCTAGTCAACTCATAATCGTTAACATCTAAGTTACTAGCTAAAGTGCCACCATCACGCTTAAGAAACTGTGAGCACCATGAAGTCATGGAACCGTAAGAAACAGCACTAGAACTTCCCGTTGACCCACTATTTAGTCCTGTAATAGTATTACCAGCCATGTTGATATTACCGCTCATAGTGAAGCCACTACTACTTGCAGAACTCCCACTGACATGATCCGTGACCCATTTCTTGGATACGGCAGAATTATCAGTTGTAGGAGCACCTAACTTTACAATCTCATTGTTTCCCATATCAAGGTCGTCAGAAAGTGTAAGTCCACTGTAAGTCTCACGCTTACTTCTACCACCGCTAATCTTATCTTCCACCCACTTTTTAGCCACAAGGGAGGAGTCTCTGTCAGGGACAGCGTTAGAATAGATTTGAAAGTTATTTGCATCCATATTTCCAGTCATAGAGCCGCCATTCCTTTTGAGGTAATATCCATCACTTCCAGTTCTAAAAGAATTTAAATTTGATGTTAGAGTATCAAGGTTAACAGGATCCCCTCCACCCCTAGGAACCGAAACATTTTTTATCCTATTTCCGTCCATATTAATTGCTCCTGACATTTTAAAACCGGAGGGACCAAGAAGTGTAGATATTTTACCTTCAACCCACTTTTTTGATGTAGCCTCACTATCAATTTTAGGATCAATAAGATCAAACAATCTCCAACCTCCCATGGACACATCTGCTTGCATAATTCCACCTTTTAGTCTAAAGTTATTATCAACAGCCCACTTTTTTGTGACAGCAGACTGGTCCTCAGATGGATCCTTAAGACCCTTAATCTCATGGTCCTTCATATCGATATCACTAGCAATATTAAGTCCAGTTACAGGTTTATTTAACATTCCGACTACCCAGTCCCTATTAGCCGCAGACTTTCCAGTTGTTGGATCACCAACATTTTCAATCTGATTTCCACCTAATTTAAGATTACCAGTCATTGCCTGCGTACCATCAATTTGAACATAGTGACTGGCTGTATATAAGTCCAGGTTTCTTATTTGTAATAGGGTCCAATCTTTATTAACTGCAGACTTTCCAGTTGTGGGATCACCTAGAGCCTTTATTTCATTTGTTGACATATTGAGATCATCCATAAGAACAAGCCCGGGTAAACTAGCACGGCTGCCCTCAACCCAGCTCTTACTGGCAGCATCACCTGGGTTAGTAGGATTATCAAGATTAATTATCTTATTACCTCCCATGTTAATGTCCCCAGTCATAGTAAACCCTGTAGGTTGGATTGTAAGGGCAGCCTGTTTAACGATCTCATCATCCACCCACTTTCTTGTGGTCGCAGAGGTATCATCTGTAGGTGCACCCAGACCTTTCACCTCATTACCGTCCATCTCAATGTCGCCCTTCATGGTAAATCCGTCCTTATCAAACACACTACCGCTTGATGGATCAACTTTATTTACTCCTTTATTGTATCCCCTATAGAGAGCCATTTTATAACATACACAATGTTTACAAGATAATTTTCATTAGAATAAATACAACTATAGCACCAATTCCAGCTCCAGCGATAGCGTTAACTCCTGAAGACTCATGGGTACTAACCGCATCATGTTTCATGATAGGAACAACTTGAGTCTCGGCACTTGTAGAACCTTCCTGAGGCTTAACTCTTGTAGGACCTCCCGGAACCTTTTTATTTCCATCAATAGTATCAAGGTGGTGAACTGGTGTATTGTCTTGATGCTGTTTCTTTGGGGGATTAGCCTTCTTAACCCCAACATAATTGAGGTTAGTGTTAACCCCTCTTTTCATATCCTTTGTTGCGTTTTTTAGAATATTGTTATACCCAGGTATAGGCTTACTTAGAATTATGAGACTTGATGGAATAAGAACAGTTCCAGGGGTGACGGCTGTGTTAAGTACAACATTTGTGTCTCTAATAGCAATTCTCATATTACCTAGAGTTACAACAGGATCAGCTTGAATAACGCAATCATTTACCAGTGCGCTGAACTTAACCTGGGTAGCAGATGACTTTCCATAGCTTCCAGTGATAGGTGATCTGGTAGCTGCCTGTGCACCT